AAGTTCTTAAAGTAATCCATAGCCTTCTAGTCAAATTGGAAAAAAATATATACATTCAACACTGACAATATTAAAATGATTATAGTAGGGTACATTGACACAGGCTCACAAATTAAATATGTATTATAAAATAGAAAAAACGATAAAACTAATTGACTTGTGTTTATTCTAAGATGCTTATAAAAGTTTTTTTAAATTATTTCCTGATACAGTGTGCTCAGTAGTATTAACAATGACAATAAACACGTTCTTAAAATACTATACACTATAAGTGAGAAGATAAAACAGCATGAGCAGAAAATATGCTGTTATTGGTGGTTAGAACCCTTAAATGATATTTATTATGTCTACTAGTAAAATGTTTCACTTTTTGCTTCATTAAGTATTACAGATCAGTTTTGTTCATGCAGGTGCTTTATCTCAATGGTAATTCTTCATGTGCAGGATATCGTTAACAGAGATGCCAGTTTAGGTCATTTTTCAAGAAAAGTGCCATTCTGTGGCAAATTGCTACTACACAGTGAAAGCTATTGATTTCTACAAAAAGTGATCCACATTTAGATATTTGCAAAATAGCATGTGCTAGACCTAGATTGGTAAATCATTGGGGACAGAAATAACTTTTAAACTCTAGATTCTGAGGTTGATGCTAAGGTACATTCAATGACCTAATTTAAAACATACAGCGGGGTGAAACCACATTAGAGAAAATTGTTTTCTGGTATCAGTGACACACTCTGGTAGCTAAATAAATTTGAAGAATTATTTTATTTTTGTAAGCCATGCTCAGATATGCAAAATATGTTTACAATCAACATGTTATAAATGAAGAGCATATAAAGTGGTCCTAAATGTATTTGTATTTTTGAAATAAGCATAATTGCCATAGGGCATTTTGGGGTCCCTTACACAGTTTAAGGTCTGAGCCCCTAGGGCCTTCCCTGAGTGGGCCCACAGGGACAGCCCCAAGTTCACCTACAGGGCCTGCCGCCATCTCGTAGTCACTTGGAGCTGTTGTAGAAAATGTAGTATAGGCTTGTAAGATCTTTGATTTTCCATCTCCATGCATATATTTGCAGTATGGGGGTTGGGTGTCTTGTCTGTATCCCCCGTGATCGTGACAATGGAAATAACTATAACAATATAAAATGAGCATGTAGCATTGTGGTGCCCAAATACTCATTAGTGACAGACATCAAACCCAGGTAAACTATTTCACTACCAAGCTTTACTTTGATAACAAGAACTCAACTCTTCCAATCCTTCATTGTTACTTTCTTCAGCCATTATTGGTTCACATATATGTTGACTAAGTTCTGTTGGAATTTTTTAGCACAAATGATATGTTTTTGATTTTGTTTGTTCCTTCATTGATGTGCCTACCGTGTTGAACCTGTGTATTCTCTACTATTGCTACTGACTTTGGTGGGGGGGGGAGGGTGGTCTCCCACCAGAGTGTGTCAGGCTAGGCATAAGATTACTGCTTAATTTCCAGAGAGTGCCACACCACATTACAAAATATGATCATTTACTCATTTAAAACATTATCATATGTTATATAAAACTGTATCTCTGGAAACTTATGTCAGGCAACATAAGACAATTATGTAAAATAAGTTTTAGCATAGATTATTTCACAGTAGAGGAAAGGTTTTGAAGAAATCCTACCCAGCAATGGGATCAACTGCAATAGCCTTTGGGTTATGAAGATCAAGATCTACCAATGTAACGCATACTGTCCCATTTTTGTTGCATGTAAATATTCTGTCATTGCCATGATCCACAAAGTAAAAATTTCCCGTTAGCCAATCAACTGCCATTTGCTGAACATCTGTAAAAAAACAACAACAAAATAAAACATAATTTGCAAATCACTCTCTATTTAGCTAGAAACTGATTTACTAGGAAAAATACGAATATTTTTATCTTACTTTAAAGTACTTAATTGAGTTAACGTATAGTACACAAATACATTGATCAGTCATAACATTAAAACCACTGACAGGTTGAGTGAATAACATTGAGTATATTGTTTAGTGGCACGTGTCAAGGGGTGGGACATATTAGGCAGCAAGTGAACAGTCAGTTCTTGAAACTCATGTGTTGGAAGCAGGAAAAAAGGACACGTGAAAAGATCAGAGTGACTCTGACAAGGACCAAATAGTGATGGCAAGATAACTGGGTCAAACAGCTCCAAAATGGCAAGTCTAGTGCGAGGGGCCTGGTATGCAGTGGTTAGTAACTACCAAAAGTGGTGCAAGAAAGGATAACCAGTACACCTGCATCAGGGTCAAGGGTGCCCAAAGCTCATAGATCCATGTGTGGAACAAAGGCTAGCCCATCTGGTCCGATCACACAGAAGAGCTACTTTGGCTTAAATTGCTGAAAAACTTAAATGCTGGTCAAGATAGAATGGTGTCAGAACACACAGGACACCACATTTTGCTGTGTATATGGCTGCATATCCACAAACAGGTCTTAGTCCCCCCTGTCCACCGATAAAAGTGCCTTCAATGGGGACGTGAGCATCCAAACTAGACCATGGAGCAATAGAAGAAGGTTGCCTGGTCTGATGAATCATGTTTTCATTTAGACCAGGTGGATGGTTATTTAACTGGGGAACATATGGCAGCAAGATGCACTAAAAGCAGACAGGTCGGTGGAGGCAGTGTTATGCTCTGTGAAGTGTTCTCCTGGGAGACCTTGGGTCCTGGCATTTATGTGGACGTAGCTTTGACACATACCACCTATCTAGAGATTGTTTCAGACCACAAACACCCCTTCATGGCAATGGTATTCACTGGTGACAGTGGCCTCTTTCAGCAGGTTAATGCAGCCTGCCACTCTGAAAAAGATATTCAGGGATGGTTTTAGGAACATGACAAAGAGTTCAAAGTGTCGCCTTGGAGTACAAATTATACAGACCTCAATTTGATTTAGTATCTTTTGGATATGCTGGAACAACACATGCTGTTACTACTTGCAGGACTTAGAGGATCTGCTGCTAATGTCTTGTTGCCAGATACCACAGGACACATTCAGATGTCCATGCCTCAATGCATCGGAGCAGTTTAGTCAGCATGATGGGGACCTACATGATTAGGTATGTGGTTTTATTGTTGTGACTGAGCAGTGTAGATAGAAAGAAACACAAATACATACAGGAAGACTGCTAAATAATAATAGACAATATATTGTTAAGCTTACACACTCCATTAATGGCATACATATAGCAGAGTGTTTATGGAGGTAGGAAAGTCATTGTTTCATATCTGATACCATCCGTTTGCATCAAAGATGTATCACCTACTAGGGTGTGTTAATGTAATAATGTATTACTACTCACTACATTAAGAGGTTACTCCAACCAAAAAACAGTATTTTCACAAAATACTGTTCCAATTAGAGTAAACCTCACTGGCATAGGACCTCCAAAAAATAAAGATAGAAATGAGTATAAACTTATCTTTGATCCAGAAATAAGGCCAAGTTCTACCAGCAACCTGATCCTCCTCCAATGACATCACTGCCTCTAACTGCAGGGGGAGGAATGTTCAGTGTAGAATGGCGGAGGGGAGGATTCGAGTGGCACAGAAGGGAAACTATGTCACAAGTAGTTACATACTATGCATGCTTATGACAGATGACGTTTATGCACAGAATTAACATTAGCCAACTCTGAACTTTCATTCTGGGTTGACTATTGACACTGTTGGAGGTTGTGTTATATCTCCAGCAGCAAAGAAAAGCTTAAACTCTGTATGTGCAGAATTTCAAACAGACTTTAAAAATATTACTTTACTTGATTTTCCCCTTTATTAATAAATTTAATCACTACTTCATGCAATGCTCAGGATAATTGAATTCATATAGAAAACATGAAAATAAAATAATAATAATATATATATATATATATATATACATATATATATATATATATATATATATCAAACACTCACTTAATTTTCACATACAGCTAGCAATTTTTAGTAATTATATTCACATATATTAAGGTTTGTTTTCAAAATGTTTTACACATGTAGATTTTTTTCTTTTCCAGTACCCAGGCAATACATAAACACAAACAGAGTGAGCCATTACATTCCTAATTTCTGTGTAAGTGAATTTCTTGCCTGTTGCCAAATGATTATAAAATTATAATAGCGTCCCTCTCGCCTGCCATCTGAACCAAACAATAAAAAAGGAGATTTATAGCTATACACAGCGATTACAATCTTTTCTTAACTGCATATTCTAAATGTGTCTCATAAATCTGCTCTGATTATAAATTAAAACTTTTTTTTTCCCTTGAAAGACAGGAGGTCCTTCCAGTGTTGATCTTAATGTAGAAAGCAAAATATCCCTTTATTAACAAAAACATCAAGCACAGAGAATTATGTGAATTACGCTGTTCAGGATAACACTACATGACCACTTAATCTTGCAATGCTTTGCTGATTCTAATTGCTCTTCCTGGGGCAAATGACACCATTGCCTTTTAACCCTTTTATCATGATACAAACTTATCCAATTTGCAATGATTTTTGTTATGATACTTAAATTTTTTAGACAATGCAATATGATAATATGTCTTAAAATATGCATTATTAATAAAATTTCTAGCCTTTTCAGTAACACATAGGGCTTATAAGTAAAGCTGGCAGAAAATGTCTTAATTATCATCCAAAAGTTAAAAATAACAGAGTTTTCTCTTCATTGAACATTTCTCATGAAAAGATATCTGTATATCATCTCTTCTGGTTGCATGCTTGAATATGTATGCATGGATGCATGTATATGGCATGTACCAGACTGTGCATGTTGTTTGGAGTACAAAGTACACCTCGATTAATACAGAGGTGTCATACCTATGTTGCACAATAATTTTTAAAGAGAAAAAGTAAAAAATATATAAAAACATGCAAAACCTAATGAAAAGCAATGTATTTCTTCCCCACTACTGCACAAAGAGTTAAGTCAAGCTTCCCCAAACTCCAGCCCTCTAGATGTTGCTGAACTACAACTCCCATGATTCCATGAATGAAATAGGCTGAGAATCATGGGAGTTGTAGTTCAGCAACATCTGGAGGGTCAGAGTTTAGTGAAGCCTGAGTTAAGTAATCAGAAAAGTGTAAATAAGCACATATATTGTCTTACATACAGTTTTCCGACTAAGAATAAGTTGCCTCACAAATTAGCTTGGCATTGAAACTTTTGTTCTTTGTTCAACTCCAAAGTGTTTTCTCTATGGGATATGATTTAAATTAGGAAGAAACATTTGACACATTTCTTAGTAGGGAATATTGTTATTCTTAAAGACATATCTAAAAGTAACTATTACTTCCAATAGTATTATATATCTCCATATCACAACGTTCTCTCTAATTTGCAACAAACAATCTGAGCAATTCTCTAAAATGAGTCAAAGTCTAACTCAATGTGATCTTATCTTTGTCAAATACCTTAGCGGGAAATATAACAATTGACAAAATAGCAATAAAAGGAATAAATTCACCATACCACCAACAATGGAAAGTGGTCACTATCAGGATGAATGGTGTAGATGCCAAACAAAGGCAGGGTACAAAACAAAATGAAAATAAAGAGTTGGAAGGAGAAGAGAGGATGTAGATTTAAGTAAACATTAATGTATCTGTTTTTGTTTCATGAAAACAAACTGAATTTTCTATTCAGGGGGCTATTCTTTTTTATAAGGTAAAATTCGGGACTGAAGTTTCACCTAAAATTTTGCTGTACAGTGGTTAAAATAAATTCTCTTAAATATTGGCCTATAAACTGCCTCTTAGTCAGATATAAGTTAATTCTATTTAAATTACTGCATGCAATATAACATAGACATACACCTCAAAGCTTTTTTATGAGATGTGCTATATTACAACAATTAAAATGTGAGAAATTCACCTTGCAGTATTATTGCACCAATATTTACACACACACACAAAAAAAACTTCCTTTTTGTCACTTAAAACACAATGGCATGCTAGGGAATTATTCTATTTTGCGTAATCGCTGTAAAAAATTCACTCTAAAAATGATAGTTATTAACTATATCTTCTAATTTACTCTTGAAAATGCATTTTACAAAGCTATAAATTAAGCTTATTGGATATATCATAAGCAACTGGCTAATTTAATTTAAATAAAAAGCAATAACAGGCAATGTAAATTGCCTTTTTCATTGTAATTTTAAATAATGCGATTAAAAAGTCATTTATAAAAGATAAGTAATTAGTAAATTGGCAGGTTTTAGATATTTTACTTTCTGAGCAGTATGATAGTTATCAGCCAGTTTTATATAATACATACTATGTTTTATGCAGAAGGTGGCAGTGTAGAAAATATTTAAATAGAAATACATATTCTCACAGTTGTCTCAATATAAAAATATGCTAAACTGTAATATCAAATGAATTCTAAATTACTGACTAATGCTATGACATTTACAAAGTGATAGAAATATATTGGGGATAGAATTGTATTCAAACTAAAAAATAAATAAATACATAACATACACACAAATATGTAAATGTAATGGCTGCATTTTCCTTTAAAGGGACACTCCAGGCACCAAAACCACTTTTACGCATTTGATAGGTTGTGAACTCATTAATATGATGTATTTTTTACATGCTCAAACCTTTTTGCATAAAATAAATATTTAGCAAAATGTTGCAGCGTAAGCCACACCCCATCACTCTAGAAAAAGACTTCCTTATCAAATGTATGTACACAGCCCAGACACTGTCATTACTGAATGATCCGAACTACAAAACAACCTGCATTACAAGAAGAGGACACCCAGGAAGGCATATAGTAAGTATATCACTAACTGTTTGCAGTTTATCTGGCTGTCTGCAGCCAGGTTGTAAATTAAAAAAAGTTGCTCACTCGTTGCTGTTGGGGCTGAGACTGTGTGCACACATTTGATAAAGAAGTATTTCTGGCACATGGGAACATGACTAAGGAGGCAGGCTAATGAGCCAGCATTCTGCAAAACATTTATTTATTTTGAGCAAAAACTATAAAGATTTGAGCATGCAGGTACTATTCATTTACAAGATGACATATTTTTATAATTAGAAGAGAGGATTCTAAATATTATTCCTGCATACAATTATTATTATTTACATTAGCTTTAGACAGCTTTAGGAGGATTTTTATCGGTATTTTTCTGAAAGGCATCTTTGTTGATTTTGGAAATATATAGAGCCCTCGGTTTGTTATGGGGGTTTGCTCACAGAGCCATATTTTCTCTTGCACTCTGATTTGAATTGTGTCTAAGAACATCTTTGCTATATGCAACAGGGGAATATTTATCAGAGTTTATTTCTGCCATGGCTACAGTTATGAAACAATGATATAAATGTCTAGTTTTCTGGATTCTGAGTCCCAGGTTGATAAAGAGCCAGAGACGTAGATATTTTCTGGTTGATAAATTTGGCCAGTTTGTTACCTGTGCACAAAAAAATTACAGCTTCCCAAAGTTGCGGACAAGCATGGGCAAGGACCTTTGGCAGCATATTTGCTTTGAATGTGCTAGTGAGTTAATAGGTTTCATTTTTTTGGAGAGAAAAGGATGTTGCACAAGGCACAGATAGAAACATTTTGTTTTACAAATCTTGGTACTGCATGGTTAATTGTAGTTGTGACATGCACACTAATAGACTATTAAGTCATCCGAACAAGTGTCTTTTTTTTTTTACTAAATACTTATTTATCTGCATGTATTCTACTTCAATAAAATCTATTTTTCCAGCATAATAGTTTATTACATTGTATATATATATATATATATATATATAGAACAGTGTAGAAGGTTAATTAATTATATCTGAGAAAAAAACATCTTCACGTAACATGTCAGGATGCCGACAGGCACCAAGTCAGACCTCAATCAAGCACATGCATTTGATAATTTGCTTTGACAAAAGGTTCGAGGCAACTACATAGATATGCACAATTCTAACTTATCATCAGTTGAGGAACTGTCATGATAGATGTATGGAGCAAGATGTCAAACAGATGTTCAGTGACATACAGATGGACTGTTTGGCTTATAGACAATGACAGATGAAACCTTCCCTTCAAGCTTTATTTTCTAAGTTTTTTTACCAACTTATCTCTGATTTGTTACATAAGTTTATAGATGTCCTATTGTGGTTTTAAAGAAAACAAAAGATTAATCTTATCGTGTCATGTTAAACAGCTTGCCTAGTTAATACATAGAAGCATTTTTTATGACAGCATAAAGCTTTTGTGGACGCCACTATAAACACGGATGATGTTTGCCTGTTTATTTAACAGTTATTGTGTTCTTATCCAGTGTTTTCTACAAATGTTTCAGTTAATTCCATGTGTTATATTTTTCAGGTGATGCTCAGTTTTTCTTTAAATATATATTGTAGCAATTGAAGTCACAATACACTTCAGACCTGGCAAAGTCAGGGAACATGTTGCATAGGATTGGAAACCAGAAACATTGTTCTCTCTATGCTGTCTGACAGGTGCAAAGAGCAGAGCTTACTATAATTGACAGGGAGCAAAGATTGAGGTGCTCAGTTTAGGAAGAAGCTAAATACAGCAATGTGGATTTTTACATTTTAATTTTATTTTTCAGACCTCACAAAAAAAGCATTTGTTAAGTATAATCTTAAAAATCCCAGGATGTAATGGTTCCCTAATAAACAAACATCTGTTTTAATAATACCTTTTACAAGTTTTTTTTTTAATATAGTTTCACTTTGACCTATATATAAGCCTTTATATCATAGTATATACCTTTTATCACAATGTATTACTCAATAAATTTTGATATATTTTAAAAGCTAGCTCACTTTAGATCACGATGAAGATTGTATTATTACATTAAACAGTAGATCTGAAAGTATTCCTATTGTACACTGATATGAAGGTGAAAATAATTGCACTGAAGCATATTAGAATAGTGAGAACATTATTCTTGATTTTATTTAAACTCTTAATATTCTATTTGGATCTAGAGTTAAATTTAAAAAATAAGCAATATATTTTATTGAAACAAATAATTGTCACAAGGCTAGAAGTCCTGTATGAGGTGGCACCTCACACCCTATAGACCAGTGTTCCCCAACCCATTCCTCGTGGACCACCAACAGCCCAGGATTTATGTATTTCCCTGTTTTATTCCAGTGGAGATGCTGATATAATCTAGACTGTTGGTGGTCCATGAGGACTGGGTTGGGGAACACTGCTCTAGACTCTACCAAATAAAATATATCCAAACTGATAAATGCTGGACAGACTACAGTTAAGCTAGAATTTACAATCATCAGTGACCATGCCCACAAGTCTGACTATTTAGAAACAAGTGCCCTCTTGGATTTGTCTGTCTTTAAATTAGTCAATAACTCTGGACCTTTAATGCTTTTACTTTGTTGACCTATTGATGGACTTTAACAATCTGAAAATATACTAAATTCCGAGGTTGCTCTGGTAACCAGACAAATATTGCCTAGAAATGGAATGAACCATCACTACCATTTAATATTTCTAGCATCATTACATGTTGGCTGAAGTAAAAGCCATGGAGCCACTCAATTTGCTCAACTTCATGATTCTCGGTAACAACTATAATGTGTTACTACAGCAACACATTGTCACCGTGGCTTGAGAATGCTTTTCTTTCTTTTCTTTTTATTGTAGTTGACTTAATCAACTAAATTATACTGGTTACTGAGCCCTATGACATTTGTATTTATGAGGTAGTAAAATGATGTACACAACTAACAGCAAAACTACCACCATTGCAGCTATTGAATGTGAGAAGTTCTGATGGTACTATAATCCTGAATTAAACTGGGAGATCTGAAAAAAATAAGTAAATTTTCTTTGTAACCAATGAGAGATTAGGTATTAGACTGTAGGGACAGGGAAAGAACATTTTTTGAGAGAAATGTAATGAAGAAATATAAATGAGAGAAGGGGAAAAAAGGGAAAAAAGAAAGAAAGCAACTATAAAGAAGAAAAAAAAAAAAGGAAAAACAAGTTGATTATACAGTCAGAAAGAGTAAATTATTGAAAGTGATGTAG